TAACAGAGGAAGAGGCTAACTCGAGTTACACTTGTCTGCATGGAGTGTGTATAAACTCTCTTCACAAATTTATTTCTATCATGAGAATTTTGCACAGAGAGGAAAACTGGGAAAACAGTATACAGAGCAGACATGCTCAAGGTTTTGTTCCTAATTTGCTTCAATATGGAAGCATTGTTTTGCGTACGTAGGACATTCCATGGCATGTCATGAGTGGGCAGAGTTTTCAGTACTCTGTTGGGCTATGAAATACCAGCTGAGTCTCTGTGGCACACACGGCTGTGGCACTTCAGTGTGACTTCTGAGAACTTGGAGCTGCCGCCGAGGAGTGAAATGTCACCTGCAATCCCACGTGAAGTGTCAGAACAGATCCTCACCCATACTGTCCTTTTCTGTGTCAGAACAGATCCTCACCCATACTGTCCTTTTCTGTGTTCATCATTTCTGTGACCCTAAATAATAAAATGTAATTTAAATATCTGCTGGCCAGTCAGTTCATTCCCACGGTAAATGCTTGATTGTGTGTGTACCTGTTAGAATATATCATCTATTGTATTCATAGAGATTAGAACAAATGTCACGGCCTTTGGTTCTAGAACAGGTAGACATGCCCAGGCAGGTCTGCCATACTGTTCAAAACCACTTCATCTAAAAATTGCTCCATGTTCAACTAGGCATGGTGGAGCACAACTTAAGACATAGGCAGGAGAGTACTAAGCATTGCCCACCTAATTTGAAGACATTTGCTACGTAGTTTGAGTGCATTGTTTAAGTCCCACAAGTCTGTGGGACCTAGTCTGTTTTACCTAGTTTGTACTAAAGGAAGCAAAGAGCCAGGTACTGGTGGCTCACATCTGTAACTAGCTACTCTGGAGGCTGAAATCAGGATTGTGGTTTGAAGCCAGTCCAGGCAAGAGGGTCTGTGAGACTCTTTATCTGTAGTTAACCACCAAAAAGCTGGAAGTGGAGCTGTAGCACAAGTGGTAGAATGCTAGCCTTAAGCAAAAAAGCTCAGAGAGGGGGCTGGGAATGTGGCTCAGTGGTCGAGTGCTTGCCTTGCATGCATGAGGCCCTGGGTTCGATTCCTCAGCACCACATAAGCAGAAAAAGCTGGGGGTGAGGCTGAGGCTTAAGTGGTAGGGCGCTAGTCTATAGCTGAAGAGCTGAAGTACAGCGCCCAGGCCCAGAGTTCAGGCCCCACGACCCACAAAAAAAAAACTCAGAGGTAGTGCCCAGGCCCTGAGTTCAAGCCCCAGAACCAAGGGGGGGGAGGGGGGGTGGAGGGGGAGAGGGAAGCAAAGATACAATGAGGTAAACTTCTCCAATAGTGCACAGCTCCCTAAGTTTCAGGTGAGTGGTTTGGTTACCGCTCTTCTCCATGAAAGCAGCAGATGGAGCTCCGGCATTTCATCCACACCATGTGACCTTCAGGATTACTTTCTGTTCCCGATGAGAAAACAGTTGTAGAATTTAGCACAGCCCCCTGGTTATTGTAAGTAGTCAAGAAAATGGGCAGATTTGGACAAGTTTTTAATTTGTTAGCCACTCTGGTTGCAAGGTTATATAGTATCAGAAAAGATCCCAGCTCTGTAATCCATCCTAAGCAATGATCTGGCCCCCCTAAGCCACGCAGTTCAAGTAGGAGCACCAGGGACCAGAACCCACATGGCTTGCCAACTCAGGAGCTCAGTGATAGGTATAGCGAAGTCTAGCCTTCCAAGGCAGGATTCCTTGTGTGTAGGGCAGTAACGTGCCTGGTCCTGTCCACCATGGAGGTCACCTGGGAGCTCCATAAAGATGTAGCCAGGCCCAGCTCTAGTATGTGGCCTCTAAATCTTCTCCAGGCCAGTCCAATAAGCCTCGGTGTCATGGGCCACGGCTGTGGTAGTCGGACATAGTAGTATGTACATACCTGTAATCCCAGCTATCAGGAAGGTGGAAACAGGAGGATCATGCATTGGAGGCCAGTCTGGGCAAAGATAAACTTAACATGAGCTGCATGATCCTTTCTCCAAAGGTCTAGGAAGCAGCTTGGGTGGTAGAGCACTTGCATTGTGTGTGCACAGCTCTAGGTTCAGTGCTCTGCATTGCAAGAAACAGGGCAGTGCCGCTGAACATAGACCCAAGGCACAATAGGAAACAGCTTTTGCAATTCACATAGGTCACAGCCTTGTGTGTGATTAATTAGACTTTGGGTTACTGGTTTGTGTAAAGAAATGCAAATCCCGTTCTGTTCATCCTTACCTCCCTACTCAAACATTGTATAACATGTGAAATCACTAAAAAAAGTGGATTCTGAAGTTTGATTTTTCATCAGAGTTGAAGGGTTCCAGCCATTGGTGATTCTTAAATTGGAAAGCCACCAGGAATGAGTAAGTTGTGATGTGTTGGAATGCATACTTTTGTAGAAGATAACCATTTGCATTGCTTACTGTAAATGTTGATTTCTGCAAAGCAGGGCACTGGTGGCTCATGCCTATAATCCTAGCTACTCAGGAGGCTGAGTTCTAAGGATAGCCAGCCCAAGCAGGAAAGTCTTCTCTTAACCACCAGAAAGCCAGAAGTGGAGCTGTGGATCTAGTGGATCTATTACCAGCCTTGAGTGGAAAGATTTCAGGGACAGCACCAAGGCCCTGAGTTCAAGCCTCAATACTGGCTCAAGCAAGCATTTTGCCAGCCCTGAATACTTTTTAATGAACCTGTTTTAACTTCTGTTTAAAAATCAAGTAGTAAATATGCAAATGATTTGAATAAAATGCAATGCAGACAAAATTCTGTTTCTGCCTTTTTCTTAAAATTCTGCAAGCCCTGAAGAGATTGATTGAACAAATGAATGTGGCACTGCATGCACCACAGGTCGACTGACGAGATTCTGGAGAGGTTAAGCCCTGTTTGTGCTTGCAAAGATAACAGAGCCGGGAGAAGGAGCCTTGCTGGGCTAGCTTCTGTGGGGCTGTCCATCCCACTTCTGCTCCAGGGCCAAAAGAAGCTTCTGTGCTGGATGGTGGCCCGGCCAAGGCTCTGCTCTGGGCTGGACGGTAGCTCCTGAGAGCAAGGCCTTGGGGATTGCTGAACCAAACAGAACGATGAAACATCTCAGAACACAGTGTGCCGAAGAACGTGCTCAGAATCTATTTTTAAAGATCACGCAGTGAACTTCAGATAAGGAGTCTATCTCTGGCCTTCAGTTTGATCCAGTTACTCACCGCAGATTGTTGCTTTGATGCTTTAGAGAGCTTTCTCTCAACTTCCACATAGGTGAAGAGCTGACTTTTCCTTTGTGACTGCATGGATATTGGGAAGGTAAATGCAAATTGAAGGTTTTAATTATTTTTGTTGTTGTTGGTCATGGGGCTTGAGCTCGATCTGGGCGCTGTCCCTGCACTCTTCAGCTCAAGGCAAGTGCTCTACCACTTGAGCCACAACACCACTTATTGTTTTCTAGTGATTTATTGGAGGTAGGAGTCTCACGGACTTTCCTGTTCGGGCTAGCTTTGAACCATGATCCTCAGATCTCAGCCTCCTGAGTAGCTAGGATGACAGTCATGAGCCACCAGCACCCAGCTATTAAATTTTTTAAAAATATACCATTAACCTGGGTGATGGTGGCTCAGACCCTTAAACTAGCTACTCCTTAGGAGGCTGAGAGCTGAGGATCAAGATTCAAAGCCAGCTGGGGCTGGAAAGTCTGTGAGACCCATCTCCAATTAACCACCAGAAAACCAAAAGTGGGGTTGTGGTTCAAAGGGTAGAACATTAGTCTTGAGCAAAATTGCTCAGGGACAGTGCCCAAACCTTATTTATATTACATATTATAGTGCTTTATATATACTGCTATATTTTGTTAAGTGTCTATGTCTAAAAAGTATTTCCTGCTCTCTAACAATACAGGTTAAAAAATACATATTAAAAAATACCCCACTTAAGATAATTGACAAGATTTTTTTTTTTTCCAATTGGGTGGTAACCTTGGACCTTGACCTCTTGGCTTGGCTTTCTTGCTCACAACTAGTGCTCTACCATTTGAGCCACACTCCAGTCTGTCGTTTTGCTGCTAACTTGGAGATAGAGTCTCAGATTCTTCTGCCCAGTCTGGCTTTAAACATCAGTCTCCCAAGTCCCAGCCGCCTGAGTAGCTCGATTACAGGTATGACCTGTTGGCCCTGGCTTGGCGCAAGACAGTTTGACTTGACAACGGTGATAAGTCATCAGGAGAAACTGTACTTATCCACTAGCGGTGTGCAATGTAATACTTGCTGGGAAGTTGGACAGAAGCACAAGACAGGTAAGGCACGTAAACAGCCAGGTCAGCGGGGTGGGGCACATTGTGCCCCAAGAGCATTTGCAGCCCAGAGCACACGGCCCAGCACCCTGTCAAAATGTATCTGCACTTAGTTGAATTTTAAAGTTAGTGCTCCTAATCAATTACTGGCCAGGGAGCCTAGCCAAAGGATTTGAGTGTTCCATTAAATTATAATAATGTCAAGAGTCAAGTGCTGGCAACATTTCCTGGCTGGCTCCTGCCTGGAGTTCTCACAGGATTTGATTAAGGCACCTTACATTTGCTTTTATAATTTACTCAAGCCAAACACCGGATCCTAGTTGTCCTTATATACCATTAAAAATTGTGGAAATGTGGTGCACTTTGATCCAGGCGTGTCTTCACCCCCTACCTGTGGGCACCCCATAAGATTTGAAGCAAGCAGTAGACACTTAATTCCAATCACACATCTCACCCACCCATGCATGTAATTCTCCACAAATACATTTCTTATTTAGAAACGTTTATTTTAAAGTAGGTATCAATTTTAAAAGGAACACTTGCTAAAGTAATGAAATATAGTAAAAATTTCTTAAATACTGTTTAAGTGTTATTGCATTTTATACATTTTTGGTCGTGGGGCTTGAACTCGGCCTAGGTGCTGTCCCTGAGCTCTCTGCTCAAGGCTAGTGCTCTACCACTTGGAGCCACAGCCCATTTCCAGTTTTCTGGTGGTTAATTGGAGATAAGAGTCTCATTACTCAGCCTCCTGAGTAGCTAGGATCACAGGGGTGAGCCTCTAGCTCCTAGCTTGGAGATAGATATACTGAGCAATTTAGCAACCTAAAGCCAGTACGATCTTTAAAATAATGAGAAGCTCAGAGGTGAAGCCACTTTGAAAACTACATGCTGGCTGGCTAGACTTTGTATGTTGGCTCTGAACTCCAAGGGCCGTGTTGACCACTGGTTTACTCAGAGGCCGGCAGAGACTGGGACACGCACTGCCAGGTGGCAGCCAGAAGCCGACCAGCGACTGCCCATCACATGTTTCCTCAACCACAGACTGCTAGCCCATAGCTCCTATACTGAATAACGAGTTACACTGCTAGAGTTGTCCTAGACAGAATCCAGTAGAAGCAGGCCATTTTGTAATCTTTAGAGATGAATCAGTTCTGTCGGTGCCACAGCCGATCCCTCCACCGTTCCAGACGCTTCTTCTGGGGTCTGGAGCTCCTGACATTGGTACTTAACTTTCAGTGGCTTGCCTGGGTACCAGATTAAACGAATGCGACAGGGCAGGATTTCCTAGCAAAGAAAGATCTTGGTGTTACAACCCACACAATCTGTAAGGGAGGAACAGTTCCACAAACCACGCTGTACATTACCTGTGTTGGGAATTCATGAAGTAGAACGGTGTAATCAAAATCGACGGCGTCACCACTCATTTTCTGGAACAAGGAAACAAGCATTAGGACCACAGATGCAGGGGGGTGTGGTGGCTGGGAGCTGGGTCCTGATGACAGACTTCAGGCAGCACAGACGCCCTGTGGCTGCTGCTTCCCCATCAAAACAAAGCCATAGATTCTTATTTCGGTTTCATCACTGAGTTATATGTGGAAATCTGGCTAAATGTCTTCAGCACTTCATGGTATTTCTAGGTGTGACGGAAGCCAGAGGGGATGAAGGAGTACCTTCACATCCTCCAAGACCTGGTTACTTCGTGAACACTTCAGGCTGTCCCTGAGCACCTCGTACCAGACCAGCTCACGCCCATCCTCCTAGCTACTCAGGAGGCTGAGATCTGAAGATCTTGGTTCAACGCCAGCCCAGGCAGGAAAGACCTTGAAACGCTAATCTCTACCAAAAGGCCAGAGGTGGAGATGTGGCACTAGTGGTAGGGTACCATCCTTGAGTAAAAAAGGTAAGGGTTGATGCCCAGGCCCTGAGTTCAAGCCCCAGGACCAGCACAAGAAAATAAAGGATCCAAGAAAAGGCAGGATGAGGGCTAGGTGCCTGAACCTGTGTGGTATGGAGATCATGAGCTTGGTTTACCTGCAGGGTAGGTAAGGTTACAGCTAGAGAGAGACGATCAAGGCTCACCCAGCCTAACTCCACACCCTTTCCTTCATGGGTGCCACACCAAGCCATGCCACACAGATTTGAACACTACATCTATGTCTGTCATCGTACTCATCTTTTGTTTACTTGATTTCTATCCATTTTGCTCCTAGCTTAAGCCAAATCCCCACTGCGGTTTTTCTCTTTCCTGTATTTTCTGTCAAGGGTGCTTTTGTTAATTCTTTATGCCCTGCAGTGCTAGGGGCGTGACTGAGGGTCTGGTGCAGAGGCTCTGTGATGTAACCTCTCCCTCCACCCCCCCACAGGCAGTGTCCCGCCCCCCTTTGCTGCTATATCAACTTGAGCTTTTCTCAGATCCATACCTCACCCCTGAACATCTATTCCCAGCTATCAGAATCCAAACTCTCCACTGGTACCCTGGCCTAGTCTGCCTGCACTTCCTGTCCTGGGCCTGCATTTCCTGTCCTGGGCCTACACTTCCTGTCCTGCTGCCTACACCTCCTGTTCTGTGCCTGCATTTCCTGTCCTGCTCCCCCTATAGCTTAGTAGTCCACAAGGCAGCCACAGTGACCTTGTAAGAGCCCTGGAGGAGGTTAAAAAACGAGCCCCTCCTAGCCAGATCCCCTCTGGATCCTCCGGTGTCTCTCATCGGACAGGCTCAGCTGCTCAGCCTTTCTCCAATTATCCGATGGCTGCCTCCATCTCCTCTGTGAAATTCCCTTCCTGATGGGGCCAGGGCCACCTACCAGCCATAACCCTGGCTTCCGATCCAGGGTCTCCCCGAGATTAGCCTAAGACTAGCCTGAGACTACGCGAGTGTCATTCTACCAGGACCCATGTTCCCTTCTCCCTGCTTCATTTTTCTCCATTGGGGTGCCACCATTGATACACGTGTGTGTGTGTACTGGGACTTGAACTCAGAACCTTGTGCTCTCACTTGGCTTTTCCATTCAGGGCTGGCACTCTACCACCTGAGTCACACCCAGGTGTGGCTAATTGGAGATAAAAGTCTCTCACACTTTTTTGCCCTGGCTCCTCAGAACTGTGATCCTCAGATCTCAGCCTCCTGAGTAGCTAGGATTACAGGTGTGAGCCACTAGCACTCAGCTTTCATTGCCTTTCTTCTTCCTTGAGAATTACTGTCAGTGAAGGCAGCAAACTGTGTTTCATTCATCGTTGCATCCTGTCCTAAATCAACGCCTGCCTGGTACTGCAGGCATCTAATACTTGTTGAATGAGATGCCCCGGAGCTAGGAAGGCCATTTGTTTCCTAACCAGGGCCCTGGTTGGTGTTCGTATTCTTACCCACTGGTTCACGCTCCTGAGCTGGGCCAAGTAGTACTGTGAAAACTGGGTTGTCTTTTCCCACATCACGTAAGAGCTGCCAAGAAAGGCCAAGTCCCAGAGGGGTCGCAGCGATGCCTCAATTCTCCCGTGACTGTCTGAGAATGAGAAAACAAAGCACATTGTTACCAAGGCACGCTTTCAGACAACAGCTCATTAGTTACAGCTGGAGGCATGGTTCGTCAGTAAAGCATCTGTCTAGTAAGTATGAGGCCCCAAGTTCAAACCCCACTACCATCAAGATTTCAGAAGCTTTGGTGATGAAGTGTGACATGGAACCAGATGAGACCATCTCTCCTGAAGCAAGGCTGTGACTCAGATCTGTTTCTGTGAGACCGCAGGCTTCTGCTTGTCTCTTAGTAAACCTGTTGTCCAGGGATTGGCTGGCTGCGTGTGATGTTTACTTCTGTGAGACGCATCATTGATGAGGTTGCTCTTCGCACGCCCCACGGGTCAGGCAGGAATCAGGGTGCACAGCATTACTTCTGGGTGTCCGGTGCTGTCCTTCCCCACCAGAGCATGGGCGCCAGCCCCCTCACCAACAGGAAATGGGATGGGGTTTTCCTATGGCATTGATTTTTGATCTGCTGTCTTTTTTAAATCAGCAAACAGGATTTGTATTCTTAGTTATTTTTGAGACAGGGTCTCACTTCCTGCCCAGATGTTTGCTTGACCCACCCCCTACCTCCCATTGTGGGGCTTGAACTCTGGGCCTGGGCACTGTCCCTTAGCTCTTCAGCTCAAGGCGAGCACTCTACTATTGAGCCACAGCATCACTTCTGCTTTTCTAATGGTTTATCGGAGTCTCACGGATGTTCCTGCCCTGGGCTGGCTCTGAACCATGATCCTCAGATCTCAGCTTCCTGAGTAGCTAGGATTATAGGAGTGAGCTACCGGTGCCTGGAGTATGCTTGGACTTTGATCCGCCTGTTTTAGGCTTCCTATCATAGCTGAGATTACAGGTGCACACTTGGTATCCTGAGGACTTTTCTGTCCAGGCTGGCTTAGAGTTGTGATTTCAGCCACCTGAGTAGCTAGGATTCCAGGCATGAGCTGCCCATGCTCCGAAAAACTAAATCTTTTTAACTGAATAGTCTTGAATACAGAGACAGCCTGTCAGTCGAAGCCCTGGGTGTCTGCTGAATTCCCAGTGAGAACAGAACAGTACGTTCTGGCGATGAAAAAAGACTTGGTGAAGTGTCTTGGTAGCCAGATTAAGTTTGACTGTTTACAGACAGCTCGGAGAGGGCCTGGTACTCATGAACTCAGCAAGTTCTCCAGCCTCTACTGAAAAGGGTCCAAAACCTACCCATCTTGTAGCAAGTATTTATAGAGAAAAGGCCCCGTGGGGTTCTAAATTGGTGCCTTGCAGAATGGTGCCCTATTTCCCAAATGAAAGGGGGGAAAGGCCCCCGATAGCCACAGATCGCCGAGCCCACTTGGGGCTCAGAATAAACACGGCCTGCGCCGTGTGAGGCTGAGAATCGCTTCCCTTCATTCTTTGGCACCGATCTGAGTTGTCAGAGAACTATTAGGGTGAGAGCCAGCCAAGGCTCTGGACCTCAAAGATGCAAAGAGCAGCCTTCAACCTCTAGGCTTTTGAGAACATTCTGTCAGTGTCCATAAGTCGGGGAGCAGAGAGCGGGAGCTCCCCCCCCCCCCTGTGTAGACGTGGGTTGGTTGGGGTCTTGGGGGGTCTGGGCACATGAGGGAAGTGAGCGGCTGGGGCGGGGTAGGACTGAGTGCTGCTGTTGTCAGATGTCAGGCTTCATCCCAGCACCAGTCCTCAGATGACTTCTGTGGTTTTGGAAATTGGATTTGCCAGTAAGTGCCGAGCCCGGGCAGGACTGTGAGTAGGGACAAATGAGCTCTGCCTGGAGCAGGCTGCCTCTCGGCAGAGGGCAGGGCCGGTCTATGAGAGCTGGCACCATGCTCCATTAGCCACTGGCCCCAAATGAAATCAACAGGCCCCAGGCACAGCCCCAGGCAGGGGGCTGACCCCCCCCAACCCCAGCACTGCCCTGGAGGCATCTTGTCTCCGGTGTGCAAGGCCCTCACCAGGGGCTCTAGAAACTGCCATCCCCTGCATGCATGCCCACTAGTGTGGGGAGGCATGGCTCTCCTGTGCCCCCCTTCTCCAGGGGGAATGGGGGGAGGGGGATGGAGAGGCGGGGACAGCTGCCACTGGAGTCCTGTGGTACCTCGGTGCTCTGTTTAACGATCTCTTGCGGTTTTGGAGGTGCTGGGTTTGAACCCAGGGCCTTGTCCCTGGCAGTGTGCCTCTTATGCCAGGCTCCCAGCTTGGCTGGCTATTGTTATGTTTGGGACGGCCTCTCCTGTGCACCTAGGCTCACAACCACTCTGCTCTTCCTCCTTGCACTTCCCAGGGAGCTGCACACACCTAGTGTGCTCCCCACATCCAGTGTGCACCCTGCATCTAATGTGTACTCCACACAGAGTGTGCTCCCTGTATCTAGCATGCCCCGTATCTAGTGTGCACCCCTCATACAATGTGCCCCCCACATCTAGGGTTGCACCCTGCATCTAGCATGCTCCTTGTGTACACTGTGCATCTAGTGGCCTCCCTGTATCTAGTGTGCTCCCCACATCCAGTGTGCACCCCACATTAACTGTGTACCCCGTATCTCGCTTTCTAGTGGATGAGATGCGGTGGTGAGTTGTGTTCATCAGGGTGGCCTCAAACCACAATCCTCCCAATCTCAGCTCCCCAAGAAGCTGGGAAGACAGGCGTGAGCCACAGCACCAGGCTAGCACCATTTGAAGAGTTGGAAATACTTCCCAGGTGCAGGCGTCCCAGCCCCGTACGCACCAGGCAGGCTGCCGCGGAAGGGGCTCTGCAGCTGCTTCAGCTGTGTGTAGAGCCGGTAGTCCTCCTGCCGCCGTTTCTCCTTCCCCAAGAGCCGCGTGCAGGTCACATTGATGGCTGGTCTGGGTTTCTGGTTCTTGAAAAACACTTGAGCCGAGCATTTCCCCAAATGATCTTCACCTGCCTGAAATAAAACATCTTGGAATTAAGCAGGAAAGCACTTTATCTGCTCCGCCCAGCTACACACACACACACACACACACACACACACACACACACACGCACATGCACATGCACACAGACACACACCCTCATGTGCACACGATTGCATGAAGGCTGTTCTCTGCGCATGGCCCCTGCCCTGGTGCCCGGTTGTGGCTTTGCGTTGCAGAGCTTGGCTGTGGCATCTGAACTGGATACCAGCGACCTCCACACTCATCATGTTCGCTGGTGCTCAGCTCAGAAAGCTGGGCCTGAGGCCCGCGCCCAGCAGGGCTGGGAGTGGGCTTGCTCCTCTGTGGGCCCTCGATGTGGGGCTTCCGGCTCACAAACTCCAAGAGGGAACTGGGATTGTGATGTCTGAGGAGCCCCCTCCTCCCGGTCCAGCTCTAAGGCCTGAGGTGGGGACATTAGGACACCGCGCTGTCCCCGAGGCTCGCAAGCCAGGGCTTGAGTACTTTCTGCTGAGCACAACTACTAAGTCCACAGTACCTTCCCTCCCAGTGGCTGCCCAGATGGATGGATGAATGCGGCCCGGCCAGGCCCCCTCTACCTCCAGTATGGAGTCATGGGACCCCCTCAGCACACCATACTGTGAGTCACCGCCAGGACAGCAGCTGTCCACCACGTGTCCCATATTCCTAGACTTGAAACCTGGGCCTGGAGAAAGGCATTCCCCCAAGCCACCAATGTAGGCCCAGAATGGGAAGGTCAAGGCCACTGGTCTGGCCCTACCTGCCCAAACCCAGCCCTGGGCTCCTTATCAGGATCCCCTAGTGAAATGTGATTGGTTAGCCAGGCACGGGTGGTTAAAACCTGTAATCCTAGTTATGGTGCAAAGCCAGCGCAGGCAGGAAAGTTCTACCATATTCTTATAGCCAATAAATTACCCTCCCTCCACCCCAGACACACACAAAAAGAAATAGAGCTCTGGCTTAAGTGGTAGAGGCCTTGCCTTGAGCAAAAAGAAGCCTAGAGACATCACCCAAGCCCTGAGTTCAAGTCCAGTACCCAAAATAAATAAATAAATGCAGTTGGTTAACAATAAAGGAAATGTGATATGGGTGTGTGCGTGTATGAATGGAGTATTACTCAGCCACAAAAAACAATGAAACTCTGAGATTATCATGTTGATGGAGACAAAACGAGCTCAGAAGGACCAACACTAAACATTTTCTCTCATTTGTGGGGTGCAGGCTAGTAACCAAGTCATTATGTATGCATTTAATGACAGGAATAAAGGGAAGACTGAGGGAAGAAAGGAATGAGAGGGAGAGGAAGGGAGGGGAAAGTGAACATGAGTGAACATGATTGAAATACGTTATACATATGTATGAGCATTGTCTGGGGGAAGGAGAATCAGAAAGATTAATAGAAGGAGTGAATTTGATCAAAGTATATCATACACCAGTATGGAAATGCCTCAATGAAATCCTTTTGTACAATTAATATGGGCTGATTAAGTCTTTTAAAAACCATAATAACGCAGTTGAATTGTCGTTTCAATGGGATGGTGTCACAGCTTAACAGCTGCCAGATGGTAAAAGAAACAACCCACAGAGAAACAAATAGTAATCAAGGTTGAATGACTTAATACACTCACACGACAGATTCACTGAAAAGGCTCAAAGACCTGGCTTTTCAATGGGCACTTTCTCCCTGCGATGTGTTTTGGATGGGAGGGAACTTCTGGGGTACATTAGGGGGCGACAGCCTAGGCTGGGGGGAGGCAGCCTGCAGGCATCACAGACCTTGTTCTGCCTCCACTGAAATCAGCCAGCCCTCAGCAAGAGAAGAAAGAGCCAGCGATTGTGTCACCCCATTTTGCTCCCCCAAATACCTCCTGTCAAAGCAGCTCTGAAGGTGAAAGAAACATCCTTCATCTCCAGAAAGTCCTTTAAGAAACTTTTAATTCTTGGGGCTATTAAAATAAAAAGAACCATAACTGGGCGCTAGTGGCACATCCTTGCAATCCTAGCTACTCTGGAGGCTGAGATCGGAAGATCGCAGTTCAAGATCAGTCCAAGCAGAACAATCCCCAAGACTCTCATCTCCAACTAACCAGCTAAAAGCTGGAAGTAGAGGGGTGGTTCAAGTGGTACAGTGCCTGTCTTGAGTGAAAAAGCTAGGGGCTAGCATAAAGCCCTGTGTTCCAGCCCCAGGACCAGCACAAACACAAACAAAAGCAACAAAAGACAGCAGAGTCCGAGAGCACTGCTGGCTGTGTGGACCTTGTTTCCCAGCTCCGGGACTGTCTTCCGGGAGGCCTGGGCTTAACAGTCATGCTATGCCCTTGGGGTCCTTCCTCTATGAGACCCTCCCATCCCAGTCCTGCTTTTGCCCTGTACCACCCACCCCAAGCTCCTTGGACCACCGGAAAACACAGGCGGGGCCCACTCGTGCTAGGCCCGCCCCCACACGGCTCATCTGCCCTCACTTCCAGAGTTTTCTGTTTACTTTCTTCTTGAAAACATCATTAGAGGCATCTTGGCAAAGCCTAAGGTGACTTGGCGGACGCAGCACGAGACCAAGTGCCCTAGGCAGGTGCCACTGCCTGGTTTGCTCGCCCTCAGGGGCCTGCAAACCTGAAATGGCAGCCGGCGACAAGAATAAGCGCACGATGGCATTTGAGAGTGAGTCACTGTGACTGGTAGGGACGGCAAAGGCACTGTGACATTCTCTCCCAGGACCCTGGAGGAGGAGGTGACAATGGGTAGGTGGCTCTCAGGCAAACATGGAAGGCCATGCATCTCACTCTCCGGCCCCGCTCCGCTCGGCGGCTCTTGAAATGAAACAGGAAACCCAGCAGAAAAGAAAGAAGCTCGGAGCAAAGCCTGTGGTGCGGGTAACTCACTGTGCAGACTGCGCATAAGCACGGCTCACCTCCAGGTTGTAGCTCTCCGTGCTGAATACCAGCTCAACCTTACATCCTTTTTGGGGGTCCACCTGAAATACAGAAACCAAATCTTAGCAGTGTAGAGGCTCTGTGAACAGAGGCCCTCTTGGGAAAGCATGCACACGGCAGTCACGGCACGTATACCTGAATAAATTCGGTACCCGGGCGTGTTCAGGACTCGGAGAGCTCAGATTTGGTCTGAGCATGCCTTTGTGGTCGCTGGCCTGACATTTACTCACTGGGGGGTAATGGGGGTGCTGTACCGAGGGAGGAGGCAAAATGTCTATGTCTATGTCCAGGCCTCTCCAGGGCCCAACCTGGATGCCTGGCACATCCTTAAGCAAAGCAGGCTCGCCCATGTGATTTCTTTGCTCCAATGGGAAAGAGACGGCGTACGCACGGCATGTGCAGGGGCGGTGAGTGAAAAGGGAAAAGCACGGTGGACCCAGGCAGTGGCCAGGATGAGGTGACCTCTAAGCTGAGTTCTCAAGGTCAGTGTGGAAGCACCTGGATCTGGGGTAGGGACAAAGACTAAGGAGGCACACAAGGCAGATGCAGGGTAGAACTGGCAGCCGGATCTTTGGTCTGTGGGAAGATGACAACACTGAAGTGCACACCTTATGGGCTCTGCTAGAACTTGAAACTGTGTGTGTGTGTGTGTGTGTGTGTGTGTGTGTGTGTGTGTGTGTGTGTGCGCCTGTACTGGGGCTTACGCTCAGGGCCTGGGCACAGACCCTCAGTTTATATGCACAAGGCTGGTGCTCTACCACTTGAATCATGCCTTCTGCCCACCTTTCTTCTTGTTGGTTGATTGGGCCAGAGGTGGTTTGGCTTTTTTGTCTAGGCTAGCTCCAAGCTCAACCCTTCATCTCCAGGGCTCGGCCTCCTCAATGAGCTAGGATTACAGGTTGATTCATTCAGCTCCTGGCAACTCCTATTTTTCAAATCAGGGTTTTCATTTATTTCTGAACCAGCCTGGACTGTAATCCTATTTAAGCTTCTCACTTAACTTGGATGATAGGTATATGCCGTCACAGCCAATGTTTTTTTAAAATTGGTTGTGATGAGATAGCAAAAGCTTTTTGCTTTGAACCTCAATCCCCCTGAACAGCTAGGATTAAAGGCATGAGCCACTGCACCCCATTGAACACTTCAACTACTTAGGAAAACTTTGTATTATTTGCCATTTTTTAAGACAGTAAAATAATCAGTCAGTAGAAAGGAGTAGAAGGAACTTTGGGTGCATGAAGCTGAGGTTATTTCATACCATCTTGATTAAATTAGACTCTATAAACATCAGCTTCCTTTGAGTTTTGGCCTAGGGACACAGAATTAAACAGGGTTATGTTATTTTAAATAGATCAGATATTACCCAATCCTAGTACAGAAACTGGAGAGGGTGAACTGAATCCAGAAGCTTGTTTATGCAGCGAATGTCCACACACATAAATACACACGAGTAAATATACAGATGCTCTGGGAGCCGGGAGCTCGGGAGCACTGCATGCATGAGTCACGCTTAGTCTTCTGACGTCTACTGGCATCAGCTGATGCTCCGCTTTGTTTACCAAATGCACATGTGCACACTGGTCTCTCCTCATCCCCTCCTCTGCCCAGCACTGGGAGATACTGGGAGATACAAGGACACTGAACAAACATCTTTCCAGATGTTTCCTGCTCCTAGTGTGGAAACAGTTGTCTGTGTAAGCCAGGCTGAAGTGTGGGGTATAGGGCATGAGGCCCAAGGACCCCAGGACAATGGTGAAGATGGAGAGAGGGTGGTCTGGAAAGCTGGGGTGCTGCTGGTGCAGATCCTGGAAAGCCTCAGTTGGCAGGGGGCTGGCTTAGGATTTGAACTCTGGTCCTTACACTTGCTAGGCAGGCAATCTGCCCTTCAGCCACACCTCTGCGCTTTCCGTCTTTGTCATTGCTTGGTAAAGATCTTGCACAGATGCCAGGCCTGGCGGGGATGGCACTTTCCCTGTTTATGCATCCCATGACTGTGGATGACAGGCCTCCATGCCCAGCGAGTTACTGGTTGAGATGGGGCCTGGTGAGCTTTTTGCCCAGGTTGATCTTACTGCCACAATGGGTCCATATGTCTGCAGCAGGAAGTTGAAGCCACGTGCTCTGAGGTTGTATCTTACTGTCCACTAAGAGTTGTGTGTTCTAACACACAAAGCTATTACAAGTGAATGGAGCCAAGTATTTTGCCTCCAGGATGCGTCTGAACTCTCCATTAGACACTACCATGTATATTGGGTAGAGTCATTGAAATACAGGGTGCCTTAAACCCAAGGAGCTGAGATCAAAGACAGAGAATAGATATTTACTTATTCTCAGAGCACATTTTACAAACAGGTCTCCCTTTCAGCTTACTCCAAACGAGACCTTGGACACTGTCTGGGAGAAAGCTGGCTGAGCTGTCCTCATGAAGCCACAAACCACCACTGGCTGCATAAAGGACCACAAAGTGCATGTATGGGAAGGAGGCTTTGCCCCCGCCCCCCCTTTGCTATTTGGGAACCTCTGGTCTGCTACTCAGGCTCCTCCCCATGTGACTTGGTATTTGATAGGAAAATATAAATGGCACACGGTTCCAGGAAAAGCAAGTGCTTCATTTTTAAGGTTACTTTGATGACTCAGGCTTTGTTGGCCGCAACTCATTTGCAAATAAAAATTGCTGGCTGTTCTGATGCTCTCAACAGGAGAATGCCACAGGGTATCACATTAGACCCTGAGATGATCCTATTGGACATTCCTTCTTTCAGGCCCGACAAAGCAAATAGTTTCTGTGAAAATCAAAACAGAACAAACCAGAAGTCAGCTAGTTCTGGTGAGGCCCAACAATGGAGGCCAAGGAGGGAAGTAGACACAGCCATGTTGTGTTCATGGTGGAGGAGGTGATGGGTACTGTGTGTGAACCTCTGTTCAGCCAAGTCTGGGCATGAATTCTTGACCTTAGGATGCCAGAGGGACAAGGACCAGGGCAGTTCTGGGCTGGGAATGAGGAGGAAGAAGAGGCCAGGTGTAAGGAGACCTGACCCATTGGTCTTCTATCCTGCTGGAAGGGCAGGGAATGGCTTCTGCTCTAAATGTCCCAGTGGAAGTGACTCTTCTACTCGCTTCATTTTATTAAACAAATATTGAGAACTTGGCCTTAAATTGGGCACCTGTGGCTCACACCTGTAATCCCAGCTACTCAGGAGGCTGACATCTGCGGATCACTGTTCGAAGCCAGCTAGAGCAAGAAAGTTCATGAGACTCAATCTTCAATTAACTGGCAAAAAGCCAGAAGTGGAGCTGTGGCCCAAGTGGCTGTGCCTAAAAGCCTGAGGCCCTGAGCTTCAAGCCCCAGGACCAGTATAAAACCAAACAAGTGTGCCCCTAGCAGTGCCCTTGGCCAGTACAGCTAAGAGGTGAGTTGTGATGTCTTGCACCCTGGGAGAGGCTGCCAGAGGCTGGGCAGAGCAGCCCAGGTGGGAGCAGAGGACAGGTAAGTAGGGATGCAGGACACCGGCACCAGTGAGATGTGAGAGGAGACAGCGTGGCCGTGTTCTGTGCTGGGCCAGTGGCTGGGGAGGGGGTGGTGAGCACCCCTGGATTCCGCACTGCCCAGGGGTTCTGCCAGTCATGCGGGGACGGTGGACACCCCCCTACCCCATGCTACTGGGAGGGGATCGCGGGAGGTGGCCCCGCTCCAGGAGTGCCTGTCCACCCAGCCCTGCAGCTGCAGGCTGGCTTTGGAGCGGGGAGGTTGGCCTCGAACCTGTGGTGCCGTGGCTGGCAGAAGCTGGGAGGCTGAGGATGCAGGGGAAGCCCGTCCCGGACCTGGGACCCCACTCAGCAGCAGATGCACGCATGCGGGGTGGGAATCGCGCCCCGTCCATAACGAGGGGAAGGAAGGCAGATCTGTGGGAGGACTGGCCGCCCTCGCGTCACCATCTAGCTGGACATGTGCCCGGGCGTTGCCCTGGACGTGGCCGCACACGTTGGTCTGAAGCAGCGGCACCACGATCTCTTTTAGACCCGACTTTCCTGCCGGGCAACCGCACGGGGAGGCCAAACGCTCGCTGGCTGCGGTGCGCGCGCCCCGCGTGGAGGCCCCCGCGCCCGCCCCCTCGAGCACCTTCCTCCCGCGCCGCCTCCTGACCTTGCTCCCCGCACACACAAGCCCCGCCGGCCTCCGGCCTCGCTGCGCTGCGCTCCCGTCCCGTCCCGAGGAGAGCCGGCCTTGTGCGCGCCACTGTCCACCACGGAAAATGGACGCCGCAGGGTGCGCGCTGTGCGCGTGCGTGCGCGGGTCCAGTAGGCGCGCTGGGCGCTCGGGCGCACCAGCGTTGAGCGCTGGACGTCCTTGAACCCGTCGCTCCAGGGTGTGGGGGGCGCCGCATAGAGCGTGGCCCGTGCGCCCCGCGCACCCCAAACTTCCCAGGCTCCGACTGCGGCCCCGGGCTTGGCAATGGAGAAGAGCGGGGCCAGGCCCGAGGAAAGAGGGCGCCGCCGGGCGCAGCAAACCTCCAAACCCGAGGGCAAGCTGCGCAGACCCGGCCCAGCTCCGCCGGCTTCCCGCGCGCTGCCCGGCCCGCAGCTCTCAGGCGGAGTCTTAAATCTCATTTGATTCACTGCTCTCTTTCTTTCTTTCTTTTTTCTTTCTTCCGCTTTCTTTCTTCCTTTTTCTTTCTTCCTTTCTTTCTCTTTCTTTCTTCTTTCTTTCTTCCTTCCTTCCTTCTTTCCTTCCTTCCTTCCTTCCTTCCTTCCTTCCTTCCTTCCTTCCTTCCTTCCTTCCTTCCTTCCTTCCTTTCTCTGCAGCAGCAAGGTCTGACCTCACGTGGCCCGGCTGCTCGTGCATATGTATTTGGAATTGCTTTCACAATTGCCTTGCACGGTTTGTACCCAGATCATTCCATTGCAGCTGGGTTGCAGCCCAGTGGTCCGGCTGAGGCCTGGCGGGTGTGAGGGTCCCTTCACCAGCACCCCGACACGGATCCTGCGGAACCTGGTTTCATAACGCAGTGGTAGGCCGCAGTCCCAGCCTGCCTTTTTTCAAAGGAGTGTGCGGGCCGGAGTGCGAGGAGGGGCCCGCACAGCTCCTCCAGCTCCTCGAGCTCCTCCTGCCAGGGGCCAGCCCCTGGATGACGGATCTGTCCTGGATGACGGATAGCCTGGTGCAAACACGAACCCCAATGCACCCCCTGCGCGCCGGGGCTGCCACAGCTTCCACAGCCCGTGCAGCCGAAGCCAAGGAAGCGCCACCCCCTCCGGGGCCCGGGTGCTTCTTGCAGGGCGGCCTCACCCACGCCTGCCTTCGCAGGGAGCCTGCTGCACCTGCGCATTAGCAGCCCAGGGCCTAGCACCACGTGCTCAGGGGGACGGCGGACAGATGGATGGATGGACAGGCTGCCCTCTGGCTCATTTTTTTTTCTTCAACTCAAGCTCTCACTTAGCTTTGTCACTCAAGGCTGGCGCTCTACCATTGCAGTAACAGCTCCGCTGGCAGCGAGCGTTGTGCTGGCTTGTTGGAGTCTCACGGGCTGACTTTGAACCTTGATCCTCAGATCAGCCCTGATTAGCTAGGGTGACAGGCACGAGCCACCAGCGCCAATTCATTCTGTGATTTCTTAACTGGTCTTGGAAGGAAGAGACATCCTTGTAATTTGAAAAGTCAGTGCTTTACCCAAGCCAGGGAACCCCGCCCCACTCCCCCACAAACCTCTCCATACCCAGGTGGGGGGCTTCAGGGCCTCTCTTAGGCTAGGGGAGGTCATCTTTGTGGACAGTTCTCAAGCTGTCTTTCCTGCCTTTCTGCTGAACTAGTAAATCTTTTTTTAATCCCTGGACAACAATGATGGTTAAAAACATGCAACAAGAGCAGGTGGCCTTTTCCTGGGAACAATTCGGTTCAATCATTCAGTAAATTTAACCATGATAGGCGCAGGAAGAAGCATGCAAAGAAGCAAGGCAGAGCGTGGAGCAGCCGGTCCCCGTCTATCTGGCGCCAGATGGGGGCAGTCTCGGTGAGGATCTCACCAGCTCTTCACTCCGCAAGGCTCCGTGTCCATGGGCTTTAGGGGCGCGAGTTGGGGATCCTGCGATTCTCTATCTAACCCGTGTAATGCGGTGGAGGCAGCGATGCAGCTCCACGCGTGTGAACCAGACCCGGGCGGGGTCTCGCGAAACACCACCAAGCCAGGGCGGTCACGTTCGCCTTCCACGCGCGAGAATCTAAGCCCCTGCCCTCGGGCGGGTTGGATGAGGCAGATGCCAGCGCTTGGAAGGTCCCTGCCCAGCCCTGGGCACACTTCTACCACCGAGTCCGCAGCCCTTGCCCCCTGCCCCGGCGGCAGCAGCCTGCCCCAGCGGGCGGCCTGCGGCTGGACACGTGGCTGGCCGCGGGCTGGGCCGGGCGGACTGGGAGATCCGGGAAAGACTTGGGTGGAGCCACACGCGCGTCGCCCACCCTGAGGGCACCTGGGGCAAGGCTGAGCCCGGTCTTCGGGGCCCGTGCCTCAGTTTCTCCAGAATCTCGCTCCCAGGTTCGGGACCGTCAAGAGCCCTGACTAGGACAAAACCTAGGGCGGCGTGAAAGCCAGAGAGAAGCTCCTGCTTGCTGCAGACCCTGCGCACCCGCGCGCCCTCCACCGCCTGGGCTCTACAGACGCGGCGCCGGGGCTGCGCGGTGTGCTCGCAGGTGACAGCGGCCCGCGCGCATGGCGCCCAGCACTCGCAGCGCGCGCGGCCCCGCGTGCACGCGCACTCACCCGCGCCTGGCCCCGCGTGCACGGCGCCCAGCACTTGCAGCGCGCGCAGCCCCTGCGGGCACGCGCACACTCCCGCGCGCGGCCCTCGTGCACGGTGCCCAGCACTCGCAGCGCGCGCAGCCCCTGCGTGCACGCACACTCACCCGTGCCTGGCCCCGCGTGCACGGTGCCCAGACTCACAGCGCGCGCAGCCCCGCGTGCACGCGCACTCACCCGCGCGCGGCCCTCGTGCAAGGCGCCCAGCACTCGCAGCGCGCGCGGCCCCTGCGTGCACGCGCACACTCCCGCGTGCACGCGCACTCACCCGCGCGCGGCCCTCGTGCACGGCGCCCAGCACTCGCAGCGCGCTGGGCGAGGCGGCGCGGAAGTTGAAGAAGTGCAGCGCGGCGCGCGCCGCCTGCTGCAGGATCCCACGCGGGAGCCCCACGGCCTGGGGAGCCCCGGGATCTTCCGCGGGCCCCGCGGGGGCCGCCGCCGCCCCCTGGAGGACGAGCCACAACAGCAGCGCGAGCCCCGGGCCGGCGGGGCGCGGGGCCCTGGCCCCGGGCGCGGGCGGCGGCTGCCGGCGGGGCTGCATGGACGCGGGGTGCTCGCCGACCGGGATCGCGGCGGGCGGCGGCCGCGCGGGCAGAAATAAGGACGCAGGAGGCCGCCCCGCCCCCCGCCTCCCCGCCCGCGCGGCCCGGTCCGGGTCGCGCCCGGCCGCGCCCTCCGCGCCGCCCAGCTCCAGGCCCGCGGGACGAGGCGTCCCTGGGGCGCGGGGGGCGGGGAGGGAGCGCGGTACTGGGAGGCCGTGGGGGGCCGAGGCCCGCCAGGACCCCGCGGCCCCCCGACCCCCCGCGGCCCGGGCCTCTCCCTTTTGCCATTTTGCAACCGTCGAGTCTGACCCACGACTCGCGCGTCCAGCAGCGGTGGAGACGGGGCGACCCCGGCGGCCGGGGACGGAGGAGGCCCGGCGCGGCTGGGGCACCTTGGCGGGGCAGGAGGACGGCGCCCAGGGGCGGCCGGACCGGGAGGCCGAAGCGAGAGGCCGGGACGCGGGCGGTGTGCGCGGGGCGCGGCTCCGGTTAGACTCGCGCAGGGACGGTGGAGGAGGCCCGGTGTCACCGGCCCGGGAGGCCACGCGGCGCAGGGCGGCAGGAGGGCGGGCACGAGGATTTGCAGGGATGCAGGGAACGCAGCACGGCCCGGCCAGGCCCCACTCGGCTGGGGGAGGCCGCGCAGCCGAGGCCGGTGCGGGGAGAGCCCGGGAGAAGCCGGGTTGGGGGTTGGGTCTGAGCTGCCCGCAGCCTGAGACCTGAGACTGGATTCCAGAACGATCGACAGCAGCGGGGCGCCGATTCCCAAGGTGGTGTCCACACGGGAAGTTGGCCGCGCGCGCGCGCACGTGTGTGCGTGTGTGCGTTCATGTGTGTTTACGCGCACACGCGCTCGTGTGCCAGTCCTGGGGCTTGAACTCAGAGCCTGGGCGTTGCCCCTTAGATTTTCCCATCAAGGCTGGCGCTCTACCACTTGAGCCACGGCTCCACTTCTGGCTTTTTGGCGGTTAATCGGAAATAAGAGTCTCATGGACTTTCCTGCCCGGGCTGGCTTCGAACAGCGATCCTCAGATCTCAGCCTCCTGAGTAGCTAGGATTACAGGCGTGAGCCACCTGCGGCCCTGTCCAGCTCATTTCTTGTTCATCGTTGTCTAACTTGGTTGGAGTTTCTGTAGCTTGCCTGCAGGGCCATCTAACACAAACCCAGTCATTTCCTTCGCCAGGTTTCAGTAGCAGGCTTCATCGCCTCCAGATTTTCCGAAGATGATGTGTTTGTTTGTTTGTTTGTTTTTCACTTTGCCTCCGTGCATTGTCCCCACACGGCTGTGGCGAGAGGCTGCAGGTGACAGGAAAACAGTTTAACGCAGAGACCCTTCCCTGGAGTAGAGTGCAAGGTCTGGGGGCTGTGAGGGAGACTTCTGCACTCTCTCACCTCAGTTAGCTGACCGCCTCATGATTGTAGCAGGGTTGCCACAGCTCCAAAGTCACATCTTCATTTGCTGAAGCCAAAAGCAGATCATAGGCTGCCAAGTGTGGGTGGCCAGGGAGTGCTGTACCATGCACCTGTTTCCATGTGCTTTGTTTTGGTTTTCATCGGGGGAGAAAAGTATTTCCCAGAAGTTCCTCCAAGCTTCTCCCCTTATGCATCACTGGCTAGGATTGGGCCTAGCTAATGTCCTTTAGCTGCAAGGAGGTCAGAAGAGTATTTATCCGGTCTCCAGCCTCTCTTATGATGGTCTGACCTATAAGTTAGAATTAAGTTTAATTATACAGAACAACAACAACAAAAGACAACAGGTGACAGGAGAGAAACAAATTCCTCAACAAATTCCTTGCATGGCAGATACGATTGGGGCTTGACGTTCTATTTGTATGACACCATTAGAGAAGGACCAAGCCCTTTTAGATTTCTTCTGCGCCCAGGGCTTGCCAGCGCCTCTCTTTTCTAGGCTTCCTGAATGTTCCTCCGGGCATGTCTACAGAGATGTGACGCCCAAGGACTTACTCTTAGCGTTCATGGCAAAGGAGGCTGGGAAAGGCAGTTTATTTCAGGGGGGTCATGTGCCCAAATAAAATTGTCAGGATTCTGATGCTCCATGTGTTGGGTGTTTGGGGAGGGTTGCGTGTTGGGTGTTTGGGGGGTGATGACCTATGAAGAACCCCCTCTGGAGAGGAAGCAGGGGACTCAGGCGGGACGGCAGGCAGCTGCACCAAGGCTCGGTTTGGGCTGGATCCCAAAGGTGCTTGGTGGACAGACCTGACCCCTGCGAGTCCTCCCTCTCCAGGGGGCACCCAGACTTCCACACTTGCGGTCAAGGGTTCGGGACCACGCTGGGTGCTGCGAGGCAGGTGCAGGCGCGCCCTGTGGAGAAGGTATGCATGCAGGAAGCTCGGATCAGAAGCAGAAGTGGCGAGAGGGGTCAGGGATCCAGGGTGACGGCCCGCAGTATATGTTGCTATATATATATATATCATACATATATATAACTAATATAATATAGTATATATTATGTGATGTATATTTTGTAATATATGTTATATGACATAAAGGCCACAAAGCATAATCCTATCACATGCAATTCATAATATATGAATTATATATTCTATATTGCTATGATATCTAATGACCTTTGAAAGGAGGACTGGGATCAAATCCAGGGTCTTGCAATGCTAAGCATGTGCTGTATCAAGCGCTATGTGACATCTCTCAGTCCTAAACTATAATCACCTCTGGCCGTATGAAAAGTATTTAAGAGAACGAGAAAGCAAAGTGGTTCTTAGTGTCAGGTTAGCACCGCATTCGCCGGACCCAGCATTTCTACCGTTAGAGTTTCCATGAGTTATAAGCAGCCCTTTCTGACCTGGCACGTTTGTCTTCGCAGCCTAGTGAGGTGGCTTTCACACATTCCAGGAGGAAGCAGCAGCCCTGACCTTGGGGTACTCCGAGTCGCAGATGGGCTGAGTGGAAAGCGGTGACTTCAGTAGATGATGAAAGGCATCAGTTTTCCTGAATTCAGCTCCTCCGGTGGTCTCCATGCTGGTGGTTAGCCAGGCTCCAGTGGAGACAGCTTCCCACTCCCCTAATATAACTGTCCTGTAATTTTCTGCCCTACCCCCCATAAACATGAAAAAATTCTCTTTTCGGTTTTTGTTTTGTTTCATCATGGGGCTTGAACTCTAGGCCTGGGCGCTGTCCCTCAGCATTTCAGCTCAAGGCTAGCACTCTACCGCTTGAGCCACAGCGCCACTTTTAGTTTTCTAGTGGTTTATTGGTGATAAGAGTCTCATGGACTTTCCTGCCCAGGTTGGCTTTGAACCATGATCCTCAGATCTCAGCCTCCTGAGTAGCTAGGATTACAGGCGTAAGCCACCATCACCCGGCAAAACAATTCTTTTAACCCTACCATGCATGCATTCATGATCAGAGCTAAACGTTATTTAAGTTACATGGATTTGAAAAAGAAAATTCCCTTCCCTTGCAAAGATTTGGCAAACTCATTTTGACATATAATTGCCAATGGATTTTTTTCAATTTAATGACATTGAAATGTCCCAGTACACACTGTGCTAAATTTTGCAGTTTTCTGAAGCACACCCATGTGTTGGACTTGACAGGCTAGTTAAAAACGCAATGTCTGTGTGTTTAGCTCAATCACACGCTCTCTTTCCTCTGTGTGTGTGTGTGTGTGTGTGTGTGTATGTGTGTGTGTGTGTGTGATGCTGTTTGCATTTTATATGAACCATTTAGGGGAAGGTATTTGCCATTACAAGTATGATTAACATTCTCTTTGGAGATCTAAACTGAGATGTCAAATAACTTACAAACTGGATGGCTTTAATTTTTTAATCAAAGGGTATTTAAAGTTTGAAATAATCAACTATTTTGTTATCTTTAGTTCTACAAAGGGGTTTTATTTTTATTTATTTATTTATTTATTTTTTGTCGGCCGTGGGGCTTGAACTCTGGGCCTGGGTGCTGTCCCTCAGCTCTTCAGCTCAAGGCGAGCGCTCTACCACTTGAGCCACGGCACCACTTACGTTTTTTTTTTCTGGTGGTTTATTGGAGATAGGAGTCTCACAGTCTCTCCTGCCTGGCTGGCTTTGAACCGCGATCCTCAGATCTCAGCCTCCTGAGTAGCTAGGATTACAGGCGTGAGCCACCAGCGCCCGGCTACAAAGGGATTTTCATACAGTTTATGAGTACAATTCAATAATCAGTGTTGTTATTTTCTGGTCACTGTATTCATTACAGACAGAAATTTTAAAAAATCTTCAGGGATTTTTTTTCTCTGGTACCAGAATTTAGAATTGTATGTTTTTTGTTTTTTTGGGGGGTGTCCGGTTGTGGGGCCTGAACTCTGGGCCTGGGCGCTGTCCCTCAGCTCTTCAGCTCAAGGCTAGCACTCTACCACTTGAGCCACAGCCCCACTTCCGGCTTTTTTCTTTTTGCTTATGTGGTGCTGAGGAATCGAACCCAGGGCCTCAGGCATGCAAAGCAAGCGCTCTACCACTGAGCCACCTTCCCAGCCCAGAATTGTATGTTATTCAAAGAAAATTTCAGAGAAAAACATCATTAACAATTATTACTATTTGTATGCCATGAACTTTCCGGAGTGACTGATTGATGAAACCCTGTGTATAGTTTTAGTATTGGTCAGTCCAAAGTACTTTGCTAGGCAACCAAGGCCACGCCCACACGGAAGCCCCCCCACACACACCTAGGCCTAGATAAGGACTGTGGGATGGATGGAAAGCCCACCTGCTGCTGTTCCTTGCCATTCTTTCCACCAGGTGCATGACAGGGCGTTTGGACACGAGGAGAATAAATAGAAATCCTGATAAGTAAATCACCTGACTGATGAGGAGATGACACAATTTCCCAGACTTGGCAGCCAGCCCACAGGCTTTGAGCTCCTGCGAAGGCGATGGCTGGCCAGCCATGGAGGCCAGAGTGAATCAAGAAGGAGCCGCCGGATTCGAAGGGATCAGAGAAATCAGTAGGATTAGGAGAAGGAAACAGTGTCGTTCACTGAAATGAAATCCTATTGGGGGCGGGAGACACAGTGCTTTGGGC